GCCTCAGCCTCCCAGGTAGCTGGGACTACAGGCATGCGCCACCATGCCCGGCTAATTTTTTATATATATATCAGTTGGCCAATTAATTTCTTTCTATTTATAGTAGAGACGGGGTCTGCTCTTGCTCAGGCTGGTTTTGAACTCCTGACCTTGAGCAATCCGCCCGCCTCGGCTCCCAGAGCTAGGATTACAGGCGTGAGCCACAGCGCCCGGCCTAGCGAGCTCTTTTAATTTCAAACAACTGACTCACAACAAAATAGCTTAGGCTAAAAATATGAATGTACATACAGACTCATGGAACCAAACCAAGATTAGTTTCAGGGACTGAGACACTCTCAGATCTTGCTCTCTTCATTCTCAACTCTGCTTCCGTGTTAGTTCATTTACTTCCGCAAATATCCTTTTGCTAAGCAGTGGGAAGATTGGCTTCCCCATCTTTGCTAGCACAGCAATTGGAGTATCTACAAGGTTCCAGGAAAAACTCCATTTGGCCTACCCTAGATAATATAGGTGCCCCTGTAGTTAAGGGAGTGGTCTCCATTTATCAGAAATTTGGGGGAAATACAGGCATAATTATTGGATAAATCTTTGTAAGCTAGGTGACTTGCCCAATTTCTATTGACTACATATGTTAATAACTTCAAATATTTTTAAGTTTATTTTTTCTGTTTACAAAATAAAGGCTTATTGTTTAAACTATAAAAAATTTAAAAAGGAACAGAAACCTCCTATGATCCCACCACTTAAACAATAGTCCCTGTTAGACTTTCATTCTTTTGTTTAAGCTTTAAGAAAAATTCCGTCTGTATAGTTTTGCTTGCTGATTTTTTTTTTTTTTTTTTTGAGACAGAGTCTCACTTTTGTTGCCCAGGCTAGAGTGAGTGCCGTGGCGTCAGCCTAGCTCACAGCAACCTCAAACTCCTGAGCTCAAGCGATCCTCCTGCCTCAGCCTCCCGAGTAGCTGGGACTACAGGCATGTACCACCATGCCCGGCTAATTTTTTGTATATATACTTTTAGTTGGTCAATTAATTTCTTTCTATTTTTAGTAGAGACAGGGTCTCGCTCAGGCTGGTTTCGAACTCCTGACCTTGAGCAATCCACCCAGCTCGGCCTCCCAGAGTGCTAGGATTACAGGTGTGAGCCACCGTTTGTTTTTTGTTTGTTTGTTTTTTTGAGACAAGGTCTTGCTTGGGCGCCCAGGCTAGAGTGGTCCCATCATAGCTCTCTGTAACCTCAAACTCCTGGCTCAAGCCAGGAGAGTCTCCTGCCTCAGCTTCCTGAGGTGCACACTACCATGCCCAGCTATCTTTTTTTTCTAGAGACAGGGGTCTCACTATGTTGTCCAGGCTGGTCTCAAACTCCTGGCCTCCAGGGATCCTATCGCCCCACCCTCCCAAAGTGCTGGGATTACAGGCATGAACCACTGTGCCAGGCTCAACTTGCTGATTGTTTTATTATAGCACATGCATTTCTCTAAGTCATAAAAACTCCTTAAAACACTGTTTTAAATAGCCATATAGCGTGCCCTGAAGACTTCTTAACAACCTCATTCAGAAGGAAAGAGGGCAGTGGAATGACATGGCTTTCCTTCCATACAAGTGCCTCTGTCCTTAGGCCCCTGCGACACTTCCAGTTCATGGGACTCAATTCCAACTTCAGAGGACAGGTCATCACCCTGGAATTCCCCTCTCTCCCATTTTTTACATTCTCCAAAGCACTTCCAAACTTGTCTCACCCACCCTCATTCCTCCTCTGCTCCACAATCAGAGGACTGACTACAACTTTGGCTAGTGGTTCAGCCAAACACTTTAGTTTTGTATCCCAGACTCTGTAGCTATGTAATCAGGGAAACTTATTTTGCATCTCTAAATATCATTTATAAGATGGGAGTTTTGTCAGAGTTCTTATGAAGATTAGATGTCATTATGTGTAAGAAATTATGATAGCGGCCGGAGCAGTGGCTCACGCCTGTAATCCTAGCACTCTGGGAGGCCGAGGCGGGCAGATTGCTTGAGGTCAGGAGTTCGAAACCAGCCTGAGCGAGACCTCGTCTCTACCATAAATAGAAAGAAATTAATTGACCAACTAAAATATATATATATAAAAAATTAGCTGGGCATGGTGGGCATAGTCCCAGCTACTTGGGAGGCTGAGGCAGTAGGATCACTGAGCCCAGGAGATTGAGGTTGCTGTGAGCCAGGATGACACCATGGCACTCACTCTAGCCTGGGCAAGAAAGTGAGACTCTGTATCAAAAAAAGAAAAAGAAAGAATGATAGCAAAAACAACAAAAGCCAAAGAAGATTCCCCACTAACGATAGCCCTCTCCTCCCTTCTCCCTTTTCTAGCTTTGCTTCTTGAAAATGATTTGTATTTGCTGTCTCTATAGCCTCATCTACTGTTTACATTTCAAACCACTGTAACCTGGGTTTTGTTTCCCCTTTACTGACACTGCTTACCAAAGATCTCCTAATGAATTCTAGATGCCTTCACAGAGCTTTGAGTCATTTCTTAATCTTCTGTATAGTCAATCAACTTCTCCTTCAAATTTCTCTCAGATTCCTTCCAATTTTCTTAATTTTCAGATTGTTCCTTCTTAACTCTCCTTTGCTGCCTGAACTGTGTCCTTTAATTAGTATTTGTCCTCAACTTTTGTGTGTCTGGAAGAAGCACAATTCTTTGCTATGAGATCTGACTTGAAAGTCTGGCTCTGCCACATACTAAACTGAGTTCCTAAATTAACTTCCTTCAGTCTCCCTACTGTCACCTACGAAAAGGTGACTCCCCTCATGGATAATCATACTAAATTGAGTAGTTGTACAGTATCTGTATTTCCCATTTCTGTAACAAATGAGTAGGCATAAATTGAAATTGGAATTCCAGGCCTGGAAACCCATTTTGTACCATAAGAATGTCAAACCTCAAAACAAATACATGCTCTTCAAAATGTTTATTAACTATATAAAACTAAACAATATGAAATATGATATAAATGTTCCTTTTGAGGTATTTGTCTTCATGGGCTGGATTGGCCGAGGGTTCTTAACTCTTAGTTTAATGAAGTTTGGACAGAACATGCCATCTTTTCCTGGTAAATCTTCCTAGAGCATACATAGATATTTTTCCTTACTCCAGAGACCTTTGAACTGCATTGAAAATTAGGGTCATCTGCCACAAAGAAAAAAAAAGTTCAATGATATTCAGATGAATACCTCTCAAAGTTTTTGAAAGCTAAATGCTGGGAGAGGGATAATTTCAATGATGTCTTACTCTTCCATTTTTATAAAAATCTACTTTGCTGAGCTTCTGAGAAATTTCTAACAATACAACCAGGTTTGCAGGAGAAACTTCTAGATCCACTCACTCTGCAAAGTCAATCAGTTTCAATGATGCTTTTTACAGTTATACAAATGCCTTCAAAAACACTGAATGAGGCAGTTTTCTCCAAATTCCTAGTTCCAGGCTTTACTTATGATTTTCACATATCCAAAACACTTCCAAAATTCTTTTTTGATCCATCCTCCTTGTTGATTGCTTTAATTGGCCTTTGAAAATTTCACAAATAAAAATACTGTAAAAATGCAACAACTTACTTAATCTATTGGCTAAAGTCAGCGAGATGCTTTGTGGAGGTGAATTGGGGAAGAAGAAAAACTACTCGCTGCTTCTTAAGGATCAGAAGACAGCCTGGAACATTACCCAAAGCCAGCTAGCTGTTAAGATTTTTTAAATGCTATCATTTCTTGACCTCTGGAACAAAGTGGAGTGAAAATCGAAGCTTGAGAATTGGTTCTTTAAAAGACATTAGTTCATTAATTAAAGGGTACTGCTCTTGTAATCCTGGCAGGATAAAGTTAAGGCAACAGTTTCAATTTGCAGTCAACTGCAATATGATTCCTCCTACCCAAGTGCATAGTCAATTTTTCTTCCTTACCAAAGTCAGCTTTCCAAAAATACAGTTTTATCATTGGTAAATACCTGTCCCAAATAGTAATAGACCTCTGTATTTTAATTACATTTGCTAGAAAATTCTTCAATGCTTCAACATTAGCACTTGTAGCTTCCCCTACCCCTGATGTCATGCTAGCAAGTTCTCATTCTTTGTTTAAAAACAAAAACTGTTCAAGATGCAGCATTCCTATCCTATCTAACGAAATCCCCATCTTGTTGTTCCTATGCACAGCAGGGTCCTGGTTCAGGCTCTCCTCTCACCTGCATTATTACAATGACCTTGAAAGCAGTCTGAACATAATTCCCTGCATTCATTCTCCAGTCTACCACCAGTATTTCCCCATATGTATGGTCTTTTGAACCATCACTCTACCTTGCACAATCCTTCTACATGGCACTTATATTTTACTGTCATTATGTATTTACATGGGTCCCCTCTATTTTATCCTGAGGCCCTAGGGGGCAAAGACTGATGATTCTTACTGGCTTTGATCTACCAGTTAGCATATAGAAGGCACTCACGAGAAGCACCTCTTCTTGTTGAATAGAGTTCAACTCTCATATTAGCTATCAGATGGCCTAAGAATTCCTTCTTTGAACATCAGATATCAGCTTTTTTCCTCAATCTAATATTATTTAACAGTATGTGAAAAATTTACTACATCTGAATTTTTCTTTGTGATGAAAAACATCTGAATTTTTCTTTGAAGCTAGTGCACTAGAAAAACGCACCTTAGCGATTTAGAGCAATCATAATGAACACCAATTATCATACTCTTTTTGTAGTTTTTTCTTCAATGGCTACTGAAAAGTATGTTACTTGCTACAGTCCATGCAGCTTTTTAGTTAGGTTTTGTCACTCATATGTATCAGCTTTTATATCTAATTCCTGTCTGCACTAATTCATCTCACACCTCTAAATTTTGCTTAAGATGCCACAGGCTAAAAAGCTAAAATAATCAAGCTTGTTAGAAATGTTTGGTAGCAGAAAGAAATAAACCTTAACAATGTACCCATAATCAAAACACAATGATCTTGGAATATGCATTTTTATCTGTTCAAAGACCTTTACTGCTTGCTCTGGTTCCAAATTTACATCAGAAAAAAGATGTCACAGAATTAGCGCCATTTATCATTTCAATTTGTACTCTTAATTCTTAAAACGCAGTCTCATTTTGTGAGAGTTAAAACTCGCCCCAATTTTAAGCTCTTTTGTGACTCAGTCCAAATTATAAAGTTATGAGTCATATCTATTATATTCACTTACTAACCTGAAGCTGTTTTAAATTACCTTATACCACATTTCTAGCAAATCAGATGCATAATATGCAATGTGATATAAAAATATTAAATATTTAAAATGACAAAAGTAGGCAAATTTTTCTTGAATCCCAAAATGCAACTAATGTGGATCAATCTCTTAATTAATAAGTCAATGTTTCATATTCTATCAAAAATGTGCCCTCTGCTTTTAGTACTTTATATATAAACATTATATTCTACATTTTATAATGTAGTGATAATGGAGACAAAATAGTAGAAAACAGGCACCACAAGCATTTAGACAAATAAGGTAAGCTCAGAGTGACTTTTAATATGCCAATCAATGTTAATAAAACACAAGTCAAAGACAAGTGCAAACATGTTTTAAAGCAAAATTAATGAGAAAATAGACAAATTCTATTTTTTTGTAACATGTTAGCCAGTATTATTAGTCAAATGGCTAATTGTAGATAAAATATATTTTGTGAAAAACTTGGAATGTCAGAAGTCATTCTGGCATTTCAAACAGCTATGTACAGTTTCACCAAGATCAGGTTATATACACAAATATCAAAGAGAAACTGGGCAAAACATTTAAAAACAGACTAAGAATACAATCAAGTACAAAACTTGGGAGGGAGCAGACATTTTTAAAGAGGGAAGGACATTACCAGAAAAATTACAAAACCAGTAATAATTATACTACATTAATACAGCACTGGGGGGGAGGTGCATTCTTCCAACACACTAGCTTCAAAGTTCAAAGAAAAAAGGGCTAATAACTGCTTTTCATCAAGAGCAGCTATACATTTCACATAATTATTTCAAAAAGAAAGCCTATTAACAACAATGATTGTTTTAATGCTACAATTTTACAGCAAAGACAAAACTAAAATAGCAGCAAATTCACAAGGCAATACTTCCACAGAATTATCATCCCGTGGTTCATGCAATGCCTACAAAGTGCTCCCAGTTCAATATACAAGTATAATTCACAATTAAAAAGAAAGAAATATAAGATTGACACACAGGTACACTGAAGGCTGAGCAGTACGGAGTCTTTTAGCATTTCCCTTTTCGAAGGGAGAATATGTTTGTAATAAAGCCCTCGAGTCCTTTCTACAGGTCACTACATGGAAAGATACCTTTTATTACAATGCAACAGCAAACCATAAGCAGCACACCACCACAGTGGTTAACCCTGGAAAGGCTAGTGTAACATCCAACAGTGACTGACATCCTACAAAAGACAGACCTGTAAGACTAGACGAAAGCCTGATACAGCAATGGTCAAAATACAGCTTTCAACTGTAATTCACAAATAAAAGTCCTAAAGGGTATTTCAGTAGAACTACTGACACCAATCAAAAAAGTAATTGCAAACTGGATTCTAGCAGTGATTTCAACCTAGCTTCCTCTTGTCACAGTTTTTCGGGGGAGGTGGGAAATGAGTAGTTCAGTATATAGTAAGGCTGACAGAGCGGTTCATTTTCTTTCCAATAAGTCGAGATGTTCTATTACTCTGGGTGGTGGACCTAGTGGCCATCCGGTCAGTGAAGAGTGCTCTTTCTTCAGCTGCAGCTTTTGCCATCTGGGCTTTCTTGAGTTCTCTAAGAACATAAAAATAGAAAACAAGACTTTTCACCTACTGTATTAATCCTAGGAAGAGATCTTAAGAGGACAAACACAAATTATATTATCAATTGGGAGGTATCTACATGCTATCAGTATTCTAAAATGCACTGAGGAAAGGAAAAATAAAGGAAAAGGAAAGGAAAAATAAAGGAAAATTTTATTCAAACAGGCTGGGCCTGTTTGAATGTGACCTATGGTTACTTAATACTCTCCAATATTTTTCTTTTTGATAATATTTATCATTGCAACTAGCTTTCCAAAAATGTCAAGTCATTCAGGTTAAATATGAAAATCATCTACTAACCTAAATGACATTTATTTCATTGTTTCATAAAGTAAGTAGAATAGAGTATTGCAAGAAAAAATTTTCATGAGAATCTGGGAAGAAAAAACTGGTACAGGCTCACTTAGCTTTTCCTATGATTTAGGATTTGGGAACTATCACCACTTGTAAACATATGCTAGTCTTAACCCTTTTTTTTTTTTTGGAGGCAGAGTCTCACTCTGTTACCAGGGGTAGAGTGCCATGGCGTCAGCCTAGCTCACAGCAACCTCAAACTCCTGGGCTCAAGCAATCCTTCTGCCTCAGCCTCCTGAGTAGCTGGGACTATAGGCATGTGCCACCATGCCCGGCTAATTTTTTCTATATATTTTTAGTTGTCCAATTAACTTGTTTCTATTTTTAGTAGAGACAGGGTGTTGCTCTTGCTCAGGCTGGTTTCAAACTCCTGACCTTGAGCAATCTGCCCACCTCAACCTCCCAGAGTGCTAGGATTACAGGCGTGAGCCACCGTGCCCGCCACAGTCTTAACATTTTTAAAGTTTGTAATCTCAAAGTTTAGAAACAATACAAATTTAATAGGTCAATATTATTTTAAGGCAGAAGTCCCCAAGCTTTCAATGTATAATAATACATCAAACTACTACATCCTCTGTTGAAAGAAAGTCTAAATCATCTCTCATTAGAATTTGAAAATTGAAGAGAAGTAAAAACAAAAACCCTCACTTACTTCTGCAAAAGTGAATTTTTGAACTTTTCAGCATTCAATTCTATTCTTAATTGTTCTGCACTCTTTCTAGAAGCAGAGAGCAATACTGAATGCTTTACCAGTGCCATTGCTGAAGGTCTTCTCTCTGGATCTGGATGAATCATAACCTTAAAGAGAAGGAAAATTAAGGTAAAGACATACAATTTAGTAAAATACTGAACCATGTCAATAAAGTGCCTCATATATAAAATGCTCACTTTTAGCAACTCTGTAAATTCTTGAGAAAGCACTTGTGGTATCCGAGGTAATCTACCCTGTCTTATTTCATGCCATTGGTCTCCATTTCTGGGAAGAGGTTCGGCACCAGCAGCACAGACCACTGTGAGGGCAAGGGCAAAAATATCTGCTTTTGGTAGATGGTTATAATTCTGTAAAATTAAAAAAAAAAATTTTAAGGGAATGTAAAACTAGTCAAAATAAAAGTAAGATTCTACTTCAATATGATTTAGATGAAAAACAGAACTAAATTAAAATGTTCAATGCCACATTCAGGTTTAGGAACTATTCAAAGAATAGGCTGCTAAATTTGGACAGATTTCTTTATTTTTCAAATTACAAAGTATATGTACTCACAGGGGAAAAATTTAAATACAAATCTAAAACAAATTTCCTCCTTCTTTTTCACTAGTGCAATTCAACTCTCAAAAAGAAACTCCTATCCCTCTAAGGATTCATATGCAAACACAAAATCCACTTGTCACACATGGACAAGTTACAAATATATAATAAAGCAGACAAATGTATATATAATAAGCGTAATGATACCATACAATTACACTTTATATTGTTCTACTTATTCTATTTTAATTCAAAACTCTTATCAAGAAATATTTTGTCACACTCTTTTAAAACTACGTGCCATATTCAAGTCCACTTTCCAACAACAACAAAAAAAAAAAAACAAAAAAAAAAACTACGTGCCATAATTTACTTAATCATTATCTTACCAGTAAACACTTATTTACATGGTTCTCAATTTGTGTTTGCATATGAATATTTCTATAGGAGAGACTCCTAAAAGTGAAAATTCTAAGCTGACAGGTACATAATTTTTAACTGATGATAGATAATAATACTTTGATCTCCAAAAAGACTATGTCATTTTAAAGTTCTAGCACTAGTGTATGGGAACATCTCTTTTACCACAACTCCATTATAAATCTTTGCCTTCATGAATTTTTTTTTTTTTTTTTTTTTGAGACAGAGTTTCACTTTGTGCCCAGGCTAGAGTGAGTGCCATGGCATCAGCCTAGCTCACAGCAACCTCAAACTCCTGGGCTTAAGCAATCCTTCTGCCACAGCCTCCTGAGTAGCTGGGACTACAGGCATGCGCCACCATGCCCGGCTAACTTTTTGTATATATATTTTTAGTTGGCCAATTAATTTCTTTCTATTTTTAATAGAGACACGGTCTCGCTCAGGCTGGTTTCGAACTCCTGACCTCGAGCGACCCGCCCACCTCGGCCTCCCAGAGTGCTAGGATTACAGGCATGAGCCACCATGCCTGGCCAAGCCTTCATGAATTTTTATTTTGGTAGAGACAGAGTCTCACTATGTTGCCCAGGATGATCTTGAACTCCTGGCCTCAAGTGACCTTCCTGCCTCAGCTTCCCAAAGTGCTGGGATTACAGGTGTGAGCCATCATGCCAGGCCTGCCTTCATGACTTCTGTTAGATTGAACACTCCTAGCTTATGGTTTAGACTTCCTATTTTATATTTCCATTTTACTAGTCATTAACGTATATTCTTCTATCAACTGATAAATGGTACAAAGGAAACAGTATTATTAAAAAAGAAGAATTACCTCCTGTAAAACTTCATTTGCAAGAAAACGACTATCGCCTTCTTCAACTTGAGGACTAGAGATCCTTGTTACATGCCCAAGATCCCCTAGAAGTATTGAAAAAAAGTAGTCAAGAGTTAAAATATTTTCAACATACAAATTTTCAGGAAAATAGAATAAAAAAAAAAAAAAAGAAGAGTTAAAATAAAAGCCTTCTCTCTTTATTTTATCTTAAGGTAATAATTTAGTTATCTTTCTTTCTTACCTATTTTAAACATAACTTTGTTGGATGCCCAGTCATCTTCATCTCCTTCTTCAGAGGCAGCATTTGGGATTGAGGTTCGAGATATGAAAATATTACCTGTCAAACAGTTAATCGTGTAAGCCAAACTAACAATTAACAGTATAACCAGAGTCCACAAGCAAAGTCATATGCCAGAATCACCCAGAAAGCTTTTCAAAATGCACATTCTCATGTTCTATCCCAAACCACAAGAATAAGAATCTAAGGGAATGGGGGCCAGGGTTATATTTTCTAGGAATATACTTTTTAGCCTAGTATTAATCCCTAAATACTTGCAACTACATTAAACCCTTGTGATCTACATATTGATCTTTAGCACTTTTATTAACTTAAAAATACAAAAGGTGATAACATAGTAATTTATGATGCTGGCAAAGCACAAATTTTAATCTAGTGCTACAAGGCTAGTATGAAAACAATGAATCATTTAGACAGTGAGTAGGGCTGATCATACAGTATCCACATCCCAATATGGCTTTGTGATTCACTATTTCCTACTGTAGACACATTATCATTTTCTTCAAACTCAAGTAAACTCATGATCTACATAAGCTTTGGTGGTATACTTCACTTTAATAGTTTTATCAATATAGTGTTGAATTTATAAATGTTATATTTATTGAAATCATCTATCCAGTTATTTTTATTTTATTTTATTTTTTTTGAGACAGTCTCACTCTTGCCCAGGCTAGAGTGCCATGGCGTCAGCTTAGCTCAGAACAACCTCAAACTCCTGGGCTCAAGCAATCCTCTGCCTCAGCCTCCCGAGTAGCTGGGACTACAGGCATGTGCCACCATGCCCGGCTAATTTTTTCTATATATGTTAGTTGGCCAATTAATTTCTTTGTATTTATAGTAGAGGCGGGGGTCTCACTCTTGCTCAGGCTGGTTTTGAACTCCTGATCTCGAGCAATCCGCACGCCTTGGCCTCCCAGAGAGCTAGGACTACAGGCGTGAGCCACTGTGCCCAGCCTGTATTTTCCTTTTGAAAATCAAAACTTTAGTGAGTTGTTAATGTACAGGTAAGAAATTCTATACATAACTCACAGAATTAAGTTGTGTAAAATGACTAAAATTCTTATAAATCAACAAATATTTCCAAAGATTAAAAAAGAAACCACATTAAATTTACCCAGCCTAAAATGTTTAATTTGAATGCATCAACTCTTAGATATAACTTTCAATTTATAGGAAATATAAGGGGGGAAGGAACAAACTAAATGATACAAAGAAGCAACCAGTTAAATCCAGAAGAAGGGACATCTTGCAAGAGAAGTCTATTATTTTTAAAAAGTAAGGAAGCTAGGCATGGTGGCTCATGCCTGTAATCCTAGCACTCTGGGAGGCCAAATCAAGAGGACTGCTTGAGGTCAGGATTTTGAGACCAGACTGAGCAAGGGCCAGACTCCATCTCTACCAAAAATAGAAAAATTAGTCAGGTACAGTGGCAGTTGCTTGTGGTGCCAGCTATTCAGAAGGCTGAGGCAGGAGGATTGCTTGAGCTCAGGAGTTTGAGGTTGCTGTGAGCTACAATGGTACCACTGCACTCTAGCTAATGGCACAAGGGATATTGTCTCAAAAAAATTAAATTAAATTAAAAAATATTAAAAAATCAAATCAAATAAGTAAAAAGTAGGGAAAGGGTGAAACCTTAAAAAGAAAAATGGATATAACCAGATGCAATGCATGGCCCTTACACAGATACTAATTTGAACAAATCAACTGTTAAGGACCTGGGTCAATGAGGAAAATCTTGATATAGTCTGGTGTAACAGAATAGTGGAGCTTTAAACACAAGTTTTTGTTTTGAGACAGAGTCTCACTCTGTCACCTGGGCTAGAATACAGTGGCATCATCATAGCCTACTACAACCTCAAACTCCTGGGCTCAAGTGATCCTCCTGCCTCAGCCTCCCCAGCTGATACTACAAGCTTGTGCCACCATGTCTGGCTAATTTTTCTATTTTTTCTCAGGCTGATCTTGAACTTCCAGCCTCAAACAATACTCCAGCCTTGGCCTCCCAAAGTGCTCGGATTATAGGCGTGAACCACCTCACTCAGCCTTTAACACAAGTTTTTAGTTTCCCCATCAGGGTCCCACTTTGAGGCTATGCAGTTTCTAGAAAATGCAGCAAATTTTTTCCAGTTTTTAATAAAAATGAATTTATTATCTCAAATTTTGGGGGAAATAACCCAAGGGAAGAGGCAAATAAATGGAAATCATAAAACAATACTGAAAGTGGGTCAAAGGCATTTAAAAACTAAAAATGAAAATACCGTGTTTTCCTGAAAATAAGACCTAACCATAAAATAAGCCCTAGCAGGATTTCTAAGTATTTGCGCAATAGAAGCCCTACCCTGAAAATAAGACCTAGTGATGGGCAAGGCTACGCAGCGTATCTGCACAACCCATGCATTTCATCGCGGAGCGGTAAAGAAGACGAGCAGCCCTTCTCATCTGCCCCATGAGAGCTCTATTGCTCAACATGAGAAATTGGGGCCAACGGTTCTAAAGGAAATAGAGTTGCAAGAAATTCAGGATGGAATTCGGGGTTTGGAGAGTTATGATGATGTTCCAGAAAATGACAACTTAACTATATTTGAATAAATGTAGATTGTTGAACCGTACTTAAAAAAAATAACACATCCCCTGAAAATAAGCCCTAGGGTGTCTTCTTAAGGAAAAATAAATATAAGACCCTGTCTTATTTTGGGGGAAACACGGTATATACATGTTTTTATATTGTTACAATGAAGTGATTTATTCTCTATAACCCCAAAGAACACAGGTGAGAGCATCTGTAATACTTACTAGGTTTTATATCCATGTGCACCAAAGACATCGAATGAATATACCTCAAGCCCCGGCCAACTTGCAAAAGGAGATCCTTCAAATCTACTTCTGTAAAGTAAGTCATACTTCTGTAGTTTTCACTTATAGCATCAGCTAAACTTCCACCTAACAAAGACAGGAAAAATTAGTATTTTCTTCTTTCTGAAATATTCTTAGCAATCCTGCTGCCTCAGCTGGGACTACAGGTGCATACCACTGTGCCCAGTTCAGTTTCTTGTGCATTCTTTTCAACTCCTTTTTACACAAATGATAGCATGTCCATTATCTTGAAGATCATTCTATACCAATATACAACAACTACTTATTTCTTATCTCTATAGAATTGTTCTATAATTAAATCATAATGCATTAACCAATCCCCTAATTGATGGACATTTTAAAATTATTTCCAAGCCTTTGCTATTATATACTATGGTCTAATGAATAACCTTATACATTATATATTTAGTTAGTATATCTCTTAGAAACAAAAGTGATGGGTAAATGGGTATGTACATTTGTAACATATGCATGCATACTGTGTGTTACATACACACATACACATTGTACCCACTGAGAAGCGTGTACCAATTTATACACTCACTATTAATATATGAGAATACCTGTTTCCTCTCACTCTTGACAATAGTCTATAAATTTTATAGGTAAAAATCAGTATCTTAGTATACTGATTAGAATACTACTTTTACTATCAATGGGAAGATAATCTGCTTTTATAAAATTGGTCAAACCAGTTAATTTTTACTTATTATTTTTTATTATTTCAGCATATTATGGGGGTACAAGTGTTTAGGTTATGTATATTGCCCTTGCTCCTCCTGCCAGGCCGAGCTTCAAGCGTGTCCATCCATCCCCCAGATGGTACGAATCACACTCATTATGTATGTATATACCCATCCCCTACTCTCCCTCTATTTACTTATTTTTGAGACAGGGTCTCACTCTGTGCCTCAGGCTAGAGTACAGTGGTATCTCTCATAGCTCACTGCAACCTCAAATTCCAGGGCTTAAGAGAACCTACCTCGGCCTCCCTAAGTAGCTGGGGCTATAGGCGTGTGCCACCAAGCCTGGCTAATTTTTCTACTTTTTGTAGAGATGGGTCTCACTCTTGCTCAGGCTGGTCTCGAATTCCTGGCCTCCAAAAGTGCTAGGATTACAGGCATGAGCCACCACGCCTGGCCAACTATTTTATATACATATATTTTGTCATTGTTGTCTTTTTTTTTTCTTTTCTTTTTGAAACAGTCTTGCTCTGTTGCCCTGGCTACAGTGCAGGGGTGTCATCATAGCTCACTGCAACCTCAAACTCCCAGGCTCAAGCAATCCTCCTGCCTCAGTCTCCTGAGTATCTGGGACTACAGGTGCGTGTCACGAAGCCTGGCTAATTTTCCTATTTTTAGTAGAGACAAGGTTTTCCTCTTGTTCAGGCTGGTCTTGAGCTCCTGACCTTGAGCTATGCGCCCGCCTCGGCCTCCCAGAGTGCTAGGATTACAGGTGTGAGCCACTGTGCTCGGTCGCCTAAATTTTTAAAAACTGTGTAAGTTTATATTTTACAGGCAATAAGAAGTTGTTTTAAAAAAATGTTCTGTTTAAAGTTTAGGAATAATAAAGTCAGGAAAGTCAATGATATATTAGTCAGAAAAGGAGTTTTTAAAATAAAAACATACATCTGGATATCTTAGTCTTAAGTATGTTCTCCATCCTTAACTTGTACAAATCTTGAACTGGGGGGAAATAAAAAGAAGGCTTTAGAAGGGAGCAAACCAATAAGCCTGACAAGGCAAGCTAAAGCCTAAGTCAAATTTGGTAAAAAACACTATGGCTACTTCTGTTTTTAGAAGGTCCAGCAACCACAGCTGGGCCAGTTCCTTCTATCTCATTGCTAGAAGGGCAAAGAGAAGTGAAAAGAGTAAAACATTTATCTGACATTTCAGGTTCTCTTCCATTATCTATCACCATTTTTCTTTTCTTTTCTTTTTTTTAGAGAGGGTCTCATTATGTTGCCCAGGCTGGTCTTAAACTCCTGGGCTCAAGTGATCTTCCCATCTCAGCCTCCCCAGTAGCTGTGACTACAGGTACACATCACCACACCCAGCTTATCCATCAACATTTTTCTACACTTGTTTATTCAGGTTAGAAATTTCAATGTATCACCAAACAAAGATAAAAGGCTTATAATACAAATGACTACTTGAGATAAGGAAACTCAGTCACAATATAAAGGGTAATCAGTTAATCAACATGTACAAATAAATAACAGAATCCTTTCCCAGTGAAACTATAGAAAAGATCTAAAGATCAGCCCTATTAGTATACTCAAAGCTTTATGTGGAGAAAGGAATGGCGAAAAAGGGAAACAGATAAGGAAGAGCTAACAAATGTATCTAGATAGCCTTATTTTCTTTTCTCTAAGTAGGACAAACAACTAAACAAAGTGGCAGTCCTCTTTCAAACAGGTCTATTTATTTTTAAAATATTTACAAATATATATAAAAAATATGTATATATAATTTTTTTTTAGAGACAGGGTTTGCTTTGTCACCCAGTCTGGAGTACAATCACACGATCACAACTCACTGTAGCCTTGAACTCATAAGCTCAAAAGCTATCCTTCTTGCCTTAGCCTCCCAAAGAGTTGAGACTACAGGTGCATACCACCATGTCTGGCCAATTTTTAAATTATCTCAATTCTTTTGTAGAGATGGGGTCTCATTATTTTGCCCAGGCTGGTCTCCATCATCTGGCCTCAAGTGATCCTCCTGCCTCAGCCTCCCAAAGTGCTGGGATTACAGGTGCGAGCCACCATGCCCAGCCAAGACCTATATTTTTAAGTGTTTTATACTGTTCCAAAATAATAAATTATATTTTATAATCAAACTTTATTATAAGACAAAGTTTTTGTATCTGAGAGATTAGCAAGATTACTACTCACTCCTCCTCATCTCCCAGGCCAAGAAAGTCTTCTCAAAATCATCTACAAACCATGCATTTGGTAGGTTGTTTGTTACATATCTGTGATTCCTGAACTGCTACTGAAATACTCTTAAGAGAACCACCCAACAAGGCGAGAGGAAGGAAGAAAAAAACTAAAAGGAGATGGCATCTAGCAAATATGTAATAGAGATGATATATGGTTGTTCTATATTAAATGCAGTAGCTGAAAAATGAAGGCTAAGAAACAGAATAGTCCACAAGATCATGGGAGACAGCTACATAAATATTTTGATGGTATGAATAGAAACATTTCCAGAGCTGTGTGAAACAAACTAGCAGCAATGCTGTATACTAGACTCTTAAATTCTTTGAAGTGTAAACTAATGAACTCATAACTTAATGAGGACTTAGGTTTCAGAAATGGACCTTTTACTTCCATTTTGTTGATTGTTTTTAAATATAGAGAACCTGAGTCCTTACCTACCCTTATTTATTCATGAGTTATGAGATGACTGGTCTTCTTTATATAAGGCAAAAACAAAAATAAATTTTTGCTATCTCCTCTCAAGTGTTCCCTAAATTATAAATTGTCTACATTCACAGAAGATATAAAGAAATAGAAATAATCTATTATATATAAAGATTTATATCTTTATAAAGATGGGTAATAACAACAGATGTGTAAAAGAATTAGAATTCAGAACAGGATTTTGGTAAAAGTCTAATGAAAAAGAGGGATACAAGTTGCCCCCTGAAGGACTTATTGAAATTTGAAAGCTATACAGAGACATCCAAAGTTGAACCTATACATGCTGTTGTTTCTTTTAGGGGAGAGAAGAGGGTGAGAGGACATGCTAAAGAACTGAAAAAGTATAACTTCCTTAATAGAGAAGCATTAGTGGATTCTAGTGGCAAACTAGGTTAGATAGATAGGAATGGGGTAGGATTATAGAATGCTTTAAAGAAATGGCTGAATTTAGATCAACAGAAAACTGAGTAACCAGCATCAGTATCAGAAGCATACAAAATGAAATGGAAAGAAAAGGCTAGATGCAGGGAGAATCCATTCAACAAAACATCTTTTTAACTACTATATCCCCCCCCCCTACAATATGCTAGGTGCTAGGATACCAAAATATATATGGCAAGGCCGGTGTCCTCTCAAGAAGCTCTGTTTGACTGACAGGCATATAAACAGTATACAAAATTCTATTATTGAGGTATTTAAAAGTGCTTCAAAAGTGACACATTTTTAATCTTTATTTGCACTTGAAATTCATGTGAGGCCTCGATCTTTGAATTTATAAGAGATAAAATAAACAGAAATAGAGCAAATGCTTCCTCAATGTCCATTCTTTCAAGCTTACAAGTTTATAAGAAAACCATTACAGTACTACTCACCATTACAATATTCATTCTGTATAAGCATATGATCATCTTCTGCCCACGCAGAGAAATATCGCACTACATGAGAATGCTGTCCAAGCACTGCATGAGCATATACTTCTCTCAAAGCATTCTGCCTAGGAAAAACAAGATTAATAGGATGGGTAAGTCATTTTTATCCAAGCCTCAAATGAATTAATTCATCTGAAATTTCATACAATAAACTTGACTTTTGTAGCTATCATTATGCTAAATAACAACTTGCTTACGAAAGAGTAGAGGTTAAGACTAGTATGAGATTTTCCATTAAAGATTTGCCAGGAAGAAGAAACCTTGCTGGCAGAGGACTCAGGTAAGATTAAACTCCATTTTACTGTGAATTCATGGAAGCTGACTAGAAATAAGAAATTTAATTTAAGCTCTAAAATAAGACTATTCATATTATTTATCAATAAGAACTAATGATGGGAAGTAACATTCATAGGGTGTTGGGCACGTGGTGCAGTGAGGATGGTATGGGTAAATCCACACCTAAGCGATGTGGTGTACCTATCTGGGGGATGGGCATGCTTGTTGGGGAGTGCAAGGCAGTTTATGTGACCAAAGTGTTTGTACCCCCATAATACTTTGAGGGAAAAAAAAAGAAGAAAAGAACTAAATGGCATAAAATGAAAAGGGACTCGTTAAATCATTATGACTTCTCAAAAGTTAGAGAATTAAATTCAGTGTTTGACCACCTAAAACCTATGTTTGTAACAGCACGGGACAAAAGAGCAAAAGACAAAATGTTTAATACATACTCATCAACAGAGCCGGCCAATGGCTTTTTCGATCGTTTAATGGCATAAATGCATCCATCCAGCCTCTTCACACACTTAAACACAGAACCAAATTCTCCTGAGCCAATTTTCTCTAACTCATGAAATTCTGTTGTATACCGTGACTTCATATTGCTTTCAGTAATTGTAATTCTCTGTAACAAAAAGTGTATCCACATACATAATACAAAGACATAAAAATGATTTTTAGCTATGGTGATAGGACTATGTGTGAAATCTAAAAATCATTCTACTTATGTTTATCATACATATATCACAATTTGTTAAGAGTTAGAAAATTAAGTTTTGGAAATAATAAAAAGACAATAAAAAGCTAATTTACCTTAGCAGGTCTTGTTTCATCTTCAAACTCACAATCACTAGCTTCCATGTCTTCACCACAGGAACTGAAAAAGTATGTATTTTTCCATTAATATATCTGACAGATACATCAACTTGAGTTCCAAAACTTTATCTGATAGTGAAATTGACTTTTAATGGATAAAAACGGAAAAGAACGCATTTAATTTTATAATCACAAGATACAATCCAGCTGATGAAAATGTTGTCCTTGCTAAGATAAGCCCAATAAACAAAAGCTTGTACCACCACACATACCAAAATTAAAGCTTTTCTAAATAACTTTCTGTTTGCCTCATTTTTGACACCAGATTTCCTATAAGATATCTAGGGGTTTTTTATTCGTTCATCTCTCACACTACTCCTTTCCCACAGCCAATTACTTCCCACCTATCTCTTGAGAGCTAGGCAGGTGGTAGTAAAAGAAAAAATTTAGAAGCAAAAATATCCATGCTATTCAGTAGAAACTAAATTTTGATAAGTATACAAAACCACTCTTGGGTTGTATGGGGGAACCAAACTTGAATAAATGACTTACTCATTCCAATATGTTCTCTTTCTTCGGCGACACTGTCCTGAGGAATGAAGCAACACAGAGTCCGGAGTAAAAGGATTAATATTCACTTGAGGGGTCTGTCGCACATCAAATTCCCTTTTTCCTGATTTTTCTGTATCCATGAAGAGAGAACCACCTCGGAGTTTAACAGAACTGGAATCTATTCCTCGAGCTTTGGAGAGCAAACTCTAGGGAAGGAAAAATAAAATTTTTAGGACCCAAGTCCTACAAATAGTCAACCTTCTCAATCTAACCTTCAAAAAGCCTTTTATGTGGCTGAATGTGTAGATCAACGAAACACACAGCCTTTGTTACAGTTTGTGCTAAATAAACAGTGGCTAATTTAGGAAGTCTGAAGCTGGATACTACCTTTTCTGAAAAAGATAGCCAAGTAAAATCTGTCTCTAACCTAAGAAAGAATATGAATGCTGAATGATGACTAAAACTAAGTCCACTCTAGTGGCTAAAAGTTAACAAACAAACCCTTTCAACTCATCCAAAAATAGAAAGCAGTCAGAGAGCCCCATAAAAGCTTCCCTCTCCTCCCCCAGCTAAATAGGGCTTTGAAAGCCACCTCCACTGGACTCCTCCCCTCATTTCCAGAGGGATTTTGCCTTGGGCAAGTTGGCTAATAAACGGTAATGCACAAAGGCACATAAATTCCCCAGTTTTACGACTCACACAGTGCCTAGAAAACAAAAAATTCACTTTAAATGTAAGTTTTCCATATTAATCTTAAAAGTGCTATTCTTGTTTTAAATTCTCGAACTGTCTCCTGTGACTTCTAAAGTTTTAGAAATAGTAATCTGCATAGTACTCACTGGCTATTCAAAAAACAGGTGCTGAACACCTATGTCTTTAAGATACCTTATCAAAGTAGGATGTTCCTAATCATCACAGGTAGGCCGACCAAACTGGGGCACTGCAAAACCAAGGATACAAACAAACGCTTACCAATACTACGTCCGGAAAGAGGCTTAAGTGCTACCTTGACTTATTTATGAGTCTAAGACTGTATACGCTTGGCAGGCCAGCCTTCACTCCCAAGTTGAGGCGCAGTCTCCCTCCACACCTCAAACTTTCCCCCCATAACGCCACACGACACCAAACGATAAGCACAGGACTTTTCTTTCCAAGCAGAACTTTTGCCTGCGCCGCCCAAATTACAGGCCCGATCACTGGGTTTAAAAGGCACCATATGGCTCGGGAGTGTCAGTGGCCAGGCCGGCGCCCTGCAGCATCCTCGCAAACCACGTTACGGGCCGCGCTCGGGGCGGCCCCGACTCAACAGGCGGCAAATCGTCAGCCACCTGGACTGGCCGATCGGCCCCTTTGTAAGATGAAGAAGTTCCAGACGAGGCCCATTGTTCAGTTACATAATCTTAACGGACAACTTCTGGGCAGGGCCAAAAAGAGGGGCTGCCAACTTTTGGTGGCGGCGCAGGAAAGCGAGCGGGGGTGCGGCCGGGCGGTTATGTAACCGAACCCCGGCGGCGGCGCCGAGGCCGAGCGCGCCGCCGCCTTTTTAAAAGGCCCGGCCGGCGCGGGCTGTGGGCTCGGGCCCCGGGCCGCTCGGACCCCCGCCCGCCCTCTCACCTTGGGCGTGTGCGGCGTGTCGAAGAGCCGCAGCTTGCGGAAGGTCTTGTGCGGCGGGGTGCCCGGGTGGTCAGGCAGCGGCGAGCAGGGGCCCTCGCCCGCCCTGCAGCCCCGCGGCGACGTGTCCCCCGGGCCGCCGCAGCGCACTGGCGAGAACGAGCTGCCCAGGAAATAGGCAGCAGCCGGCGACTTGACGGGCGACGAGGAGCCGAAGCCCTCCTCCTCCCACGAGTCGCCCTCGGCCCCGCCGCCCGTCCCGTCCACGCCTGGGCAGGCGTCCCGCAGCACCATGTCCTCCTCCAGCTCCCCGGGGCTGCCGGGGGTCGGGCCGGGTGAGCGGCGGCGCTCGGGCCCGGGCTCGGCGGGGCTCCTCGCGGGAGGCAGCGGCGAGTCGGGCTCCTGAAAGGCCGAGTCCTCCCCGGTACTGTGGCCGCTGCCTTCCTCCTCCTCTTCCTCTTCTTCTTCCTCACAGTCGCTGCAGGGCGAGAAAATCAGTTTCTGCCGCAATGTGCAGGCGGCCCTGGCGCGGCGGGGCGGCGGCGGCTGCTGCCGGCTGAGGAAGCTCATCGCGGTCCTGGGGCCGGGTCAGAGGACTGGAGAGCGGGGGCCCGCGGAGGCCAGGACACTGCTGGCCCAGGGGGCGGGTCCGCCACGTGCGACTGGGCGCGCCGGGTCGCGGCTGCGGCTGGCCTGCGCGGCGGCGGAGTGCGGCCCCGGGGTGCTGCGGGCGGCTGGGCCGGCTGAGGCGGCAGTGCGGCCTGTCCGGCAGAGGCGGGGCGGCCCGGGCGCCGAAGCTGAGGTGTCCGCAGACCCAGCTACAGGTTCGGGCTCTGCGGCTTCCCGCGACCGTTAACCACGTGAGTGCCCAGCCCACCAATCCACACACAGCCCGGGGTTTGAAAAAACAGGAGGGCGCGACGTAGCCCGCGGGGGAGGGACCAGCTACGCGATTTTGGCGCGAACCAGCAGGCTCCGCCCTCGACTCGCGCCGAGCAGGCCTGGGCGGGCTACGGCGCCACGGGCCTATGAGCGAGCCCGGGCGGATGGAGGCCCGACCCGACACCGCCCGGACGGGGCTGGGCTCGGGAGTCCAGCAGGCCTTCTGGGAGGGGCGAAGGGAGCTGGGTTTGCCAAAGCCGAACCGAACTTCGGCTCGGACGGGGCCTCATCGCCACTCCTCCGGCGCCCCGGGGTTTGAAGCGGGGCAGACCGGGAGCGCCTTCGGGTCCCTGCGAGCCAGGACGAGCCGGGGACCGCGTGGCCTTCGTCCACTGCCCCCAGCGGCCACCTCCTGCCCCTGGTCCCTTTGGGGCGGGCCGCTGGGGCTTTGTGGGCGTGGCGGGTGGCAGTCACGTTCCCAGGTCGAGGTCTGAGCTGGGAATGGTGACGTGGGCCTCACGATCTTTCTGAACCGTGCGAGCCAATATGCTTAGGCCGGACAACGAAGTCAGCGAGAGGACGGACACGCGAGTTCTCGAAGCTAGGACGCCAGCTGTGGGGGCCGCCTCTGAGCCTCAGTTTTTCCCCCGGGGTGGCTGCTAGGGGCGGGTGCGGCCACAGCCACAGCAAGGTGAGCTCCCTTAGGCCGGCGGTCCCCTCGGCAGCCCGCCGGAGACTTGTCTGTGGTAAATAGAAACAACGGGGCAGTTGACCCTAGCACAAAACAAGTGCTCACCACGCGACCTCCGTGTTTATTTTTGTTCGCCAGCACGTGTGCACGCGTTGGCCAAACCGATTGGCCGGGCTGGCTGCAAACTTAAATGTAATTTGAGAAAAAAATTCCCCTAGTTATCGGTGAATCTGTGATTTAATTTCGTCCTTTATTGCACACACAAGTTTCTGCCAATTTTTCTGTTGTAAATAAACCCGCAATGAATATTTTTACCTCTCCCTGTTTTTTTTTTTTTTCTTCTTTAGGCTACGTCCGTGGAGTGGGAATGACTGGGTCAAAGGATGTAAACTATTAAACTGCCCTCCAGAAAAACAGTTTACATTCTCACTAGCAGTGGATTAGAGCACACTGTGAATTCTGGACATCAGTGGATATTTAATGTTTGTTAATGTGGTTTTGTTGTTTTGATTCATATTATTGGACAGTTGTCATGGGTATAATTGGCATTTACATTTACTTCTACTGTCTTTCTTATTGTAGTACTTTATATTAACACTTTGTCATATATGTTCTAACATTTTCAAAGGCTAAGTAATTAACTCAAGTTGAATTTTTAATGAAAACACATCTTAGTACTTAACATATCACGAGGAGAATTTCCTGAGATCACACAACTAACTGAAGACACAGTGAAGGATTAACAGCTGGCTTCTCCAAACATTTGCTAGCTGTATAAATGTGTCTTTTTTGTATGTTAATCTAAACTTAATTACAAGCTTCTGGAGGATGTGAGAACTCTATACTAGTAGGAAAGGCATTCTCCAATCCACAGTAGCCAAAGCCCAGGTGTGGTTCTTAGAACCCTCCCTCCAGCACCTACCCTGTGGCCACTCCTGGTGGTGACCAATTTACCTCTTTGATATGGATAGTTGACATTTTCTCGACTTTATGTGAAGTGTAAATAAAAAGAACTTTAGAAAACTACTATTTTTATTGATTTGTAACTAAGTTGTCTGTAAAAATAGTGTGCTTTCTAGGTAAATGGGAACTTTAAAGCCCCTTAGACACCTCTCCCCAACTACATTGTTGCTCTTGAACCCTTTCTATGTAAGAATTCTGTATCCCTGTTGCTAACCATCCAATCTCATGTCCCTCCCTCTTGGCTCTTTTGCAACACCCTGCTCTATTGCCTTAACAGGCTTTTATCTATCTCCAAGTATGTTGTTGATTTATCTCTTTCCAGAAAAATGTGGTTCCTGAGGGTGGGGACCTTCTCTATCTTTTTTATTGCAGTATTCTGTTGTGGCTTAGGTTTTCACTACTTTGTGAGTGATAAAGGACCCCTAACTTAAATATTTGTTGGTTATTTGCTTCCTAAATTAGCGTGTTTGCAGATAATTTTGCCTATTTAAGATTTTGCACAGAGATTACTACTCTATTCAATGCAAGTTGGTAGAAGGTTAGCAAGTATAACACTTTTATCATATTTTTCTCCATGGTTTGCCCCCCCAATAATAAAAATTTAAATGGTACCACAGTCTCCTACCTATCCCTTCAATCCTCAGCCCAATTCCCTTTCCTGGAGGTAAACATTCTTAACAATGTTTGTTTTGTTGTTTGTCAACTCCTACATTGCCACCTGTCTGCCTCCCTGAACTGGGAGATCCTTGTACTTGGCTGGATCAAAAGGGCCTGGGTTTCAGGTGAGAAGGGAAGAGTTCTTGGTGCACAGGTCACAGGGTGCAGAGTTCTTGGCACCCAAGTCCTGACACAGAATGGGAGAGGTAAGTTGGAAACACATATATAAAATGACTGGAGGAAAGAAGGAATTTTTTTTTTTTAAGAGAGTCTCACTCTGTTGCCCGGGCTAGAGTGCCATGGCATCAGCCTAGCTCACAGCAACCTCAAACTCCTGGGCTTAAGCGGTCCTTCTGCCTCAGTCTCCCGAGCAGCTGGGACTACAGGCATGTGCCACCATGCCCAGCTAATTTTTTCTGTATATTTTTAGTTGTCCAGCTAATTTCTATTTTTTTAGTAGAGACGGGGTCTTGCTCTTGCTCAGGCTGATTTTGAACTCCTGAGCTCAAACTATCCTCCCACCTTGGCCTCCCAGAGTGCTGGAATTACAGGTGTGAACCACCAGGCCCAGCCAAGAAGGAATTTTTTAAGAGTTAAAACCCAGTGCTGGCCTGGGCATGGAGTCTCACACCTGTAATCCTAGCACTCTGGGAGGCCGAGGCGGAAGGATTGCTTGAGGTCAGGAGTTTGAGACCAGCCTGAACAAGAGTGAGACCCCTGTCTCTAGTAAAAATAGAAAAAATTAGCCGGATGTGGTGGTGTGTGCCTGCAGTCCCAGCTACTCAGGAGGCTGAGGCAGGAGGATCACTTGAGCCCAGAAGTTTGAGGTTGCTGTGAGCTTGGCTGACCCTACAGCACTCTGGCCCTGGCCTGAGTGACAGAGTGGGATAAATAAATGCATGCATGCATGCATGAATGAATAAATAACCAACCAACCCAGTGCTAGAGCCACTTGGTCTGTGAAGCCTTTCCTTGACTTTTTTCCATTCCTTGCTCCAGACATCCATGCTCCAGACTTTCCACCACACCCAACATGAACTAAATAACACTGTTTACTTGTCTTGCTTCCCTCCTACCCAGGGCTAGGACCATGTTTTATTTGTTTTTAGAGCTCCAGCAACTAGCCTTATGCCTTGGCACCTGAGAAAGTGCTCAATAAATGTTTGTAGAATAATTGAATGAAAATCTAGTGATCTTTAAAACAAAAGTGCTAACCAGGCCAGGCATGGTGGCTCACGACTGTAATCCTAGCATTCTGGGAGGCCGAGGCAGGCGGATTGCTTGAGGTCAGGAGTTTGAAACCAGCCTGAGCGAGACCTGTCTCTACAAAAAATAGAAATTAATTGACCAACTGGAAATAGATATAGAAAAAATTAGCCGGGCATGGTGGCGCATGCCTGTAGTCCCAGCTACTAGGGAGCCTGAGGCAGTAGGATCCCTTGAGCCCAAGAGATTGAGGTTGCTGTGAGCTAGGCTGATGCCATGGCACTCACTCTAGCCTCTGCAACAAAATGAGACTCTGTCTCAAAAAAAAGGGTGGGCACGGTGGCTCACGCCTGTAATCCTAGCACTCTGGGAGGCCGAGGCGGCGGATTGCTGGAGGTCAGCCATTCGAAACCAGCCTGAGCAAGAGTGAGACCCCGTCTCTACTATAAATAGAAACAAATTAATTGGCCAACTAATATATATAGAAAAAAATTAGCCGGGCATGGCAGCGCATGCCTGTAGTCCCAGCTACTCGGGAGGCTGAGGCAGGAGGATTGCTTGAGCCCAGGAGTTTGAGGTTGCTGTGAGCTAGGCTGATGCCATGGCACTCACTCTAGCCTGGGCAACAGAGTGAGACTCTGTCTCACAAAAAAACAAAAACAAAAAAACATTAAAAAATAAAAGTGCTAACCATCCTTTTCTTGGGGTAGTGCTACTGTCCAATGAATGAGCTGTGAGGGCAATACTACTAACGCCTACACAACATGCCCGCATCAACTAGAGCTTTGCTTTACTTTGGTGCAATTTTTGAAAAAAAAGAAAAACCTCTTTTCCATGAAATAAAACAAAAGTGCTGAGTGAAAAACTCTAGCCCTACCTCCTCCAGCTGAGAACGTGACACAATGTTATGGTTTAACTGCAGCAACATTCTAACTGAAATTTTAAGTGACTTCTGATTTTTAAAATTTCACGCTCCTCTGAATACAGTACATACTGTACTGGAGAGATGGGTTACACCCACCTGCCCCAGAGCATATCTAATTCAAATTTCCAGTTCCTTTCTCCACCCAGTGTTGTTTCTAACTATAATGTTGCTAGGCAACTTTTGCAGAATCCACAAGTTTGTGGTAACCTTGTAATAACTGAGTAAAAAATCTTGCCTCTAGCTCTTGGAAGAACCAACCTGTTTATCCTCCTTAGACTCATGACTTAGCATATAAAGGGCTTTAATACCACTTTTGGCAGCCCATTCACCTTCCTTAGCAACAAAATAAGCAAGATTGTTGCCCTGAAGATTTGTAATTGAGATTCCTAAATCACCCTCTAAAATACTTTTAATATATACAACACATGAATATGTGTGCATATTCTTATAAATATGAATCTTGCACTTTTGGATGAAATCCTTCAGAACTAGGA